TATCCGGCAACCGGCGAGACGCTGCCGTGAGCCAGCCGCTCTTGCGGCAGCCGCCAGCGGAGGCCGAGCGCGTCGCGTGAGTTGAAATCGATGTGGCGAGTCGACCGCCAGTCCGCACGATGGCACTGCGACCGCGGCGGCTGCCGGCGAGGGCAGCAGCGGCGCGCGCGAGGCGGCACGTAATCGGGTCCGAAGTCCGGACCCGATTTGGGGTCTACACACCTTTTCCCCCAGAGGCTTAGTCTGCTTTTTGTGTGCACTCAATCTTCTCTCTTCTGCCCTCAGATCTAGGCATCCCTGAGGGTGGCCTGGACCGTCAGCCAAATATCCTAAGCCAAGTATCCTGAGATTATGTCCTGAGACCAATCCTGAGAGAATATCCTGAGAAAATTTCCTAAGCCAAATATCCTGAGACAATTTCCTGAGCCAAATATCCTGAGACCATATCCTAAGTATCCTGAGGGAGTATCCTAAGCCAAATATCCTGAGACAATTTCCTAAGCCAAATATCCTGAGACAATTTCCTAAGACAAATATCCTGAGACAATTTCCTGAGCCAAATATCCTGAGACCATATCCTAAGCCAAATATCCTGAGACAATTTCCTAAGCCAAATATCCTGAGACAATTTCCTAAGCCAAATATCCTGACAATTAAGCCAAATATCCTGAGACAATTTCCTAAGCCAAATATCCTGAGACCATATTCTAAGCCAAATATCCTGAGATAATTTCCTAAGCTTGACCCGTGGCTTTTGGGCGCACCTCTGGTGGTGTGGCGCGCGCTCTGCGCGGCGCCACCGGCGGCGCGTCGGAGTGGCGGCCGCCACTCGCGTGGTGCCAAGAGGTTCTCCGGAACCCTTACGCGCACCACGGCGGCCGCCTTCAACTCCCCGAGCGGGGCCCTAGGACCAAGGGCGCGCTCGGCAAATTCCTGCGCTTTGCGCAGGGTCACAACCCCTGGGCCAGTTGTTGGTGGAACCACCTCAAGGCCAGCGCGCATGCGCGGGCGATGGACTGACTCCAGCAGCTCAAGGGCTCGCGCTCTCCTCACCGCCGCGCGCGCGTTGCAGCAGGAGTGCCGCAAACCGCAATGCGGCATTGTGCGACTACCGCATTGTGCCGCAGCTGCACCGCTTCTCCTCGGACATCATCGTGAACTCGGTGGTCCGCTGCGAGGACGCGGTCAGCACCGCGCCGGATCTCTTCTGAGAGCCGGCGCGTATCGCGGATGCGGCTTGAAGGCTCTGCCGGCGGATCTGTGGCCTGGCGCCTGCCAGACTGCGGGTCCAAATACCCCGGCGCTCGCGCGCGCCACCGCCCCCGGCGCGGGGTGGGATATCAGTTCGTGAGTCCTGTGTCCCCGTCCCTGTGCTCCACCTTCTTCTCCCGTGTCGGTCCCTGAGAACCCCACTATACAGCGCCACCTCGTGAGCTGTCCTGTGAGCTGTGTGCTGTGCGTCCAGCAGTCCGGACCCAGTGCTACGGCCGGTGACAGCGTGCCTCGTGTCGGCTCCCGAGCCAATCGTGTGCAGCGTGTGTGTGCGTGTGGGCCCGTCCTCCATGCTTGGAGGTGTGAAGACTGACTGACTGTGGCGACAAGGAAAACAAGAATTACCGCCGGCGTTTAACCGCTCCTGTCCTCGCCCTCCTCAGAGCGGCAGAGCAGCACCCTGGTCCTCACCATCTTACCCCGCCTCGAATCCAGAGCCCGTGCACAGCTCGCATCTGCCGCGCATAGGCTGGGCAGATGTCGATCTCGCTGGCCGCTGGGTTCACGTCGACGACGGACCTCGCTTACGTCTCCAAGCTGTCCAAGGTGGCGGCGAAGAAGCAGCTGCAACCGCCCATCGGCGCGTCGCCCGGCGAGCTCCGCCTTTGGCGCAAGCAGGTCCAGCGCCCCTGCGGTCGCCCCCCCCCCCCCCC